CTGGAAATCCGACGTGGCATTTTTTTTTATTAATTTCTGACACCGACGTGGCTCGCCGGAGGATGAGTCAGCGTGTACAGTCAGCATTTTTTATTTTAAATAATTTTTTTCCTTTTTTTTCTTCTTCTTTCCTTTTTCCTTTCTTTTCTTTTTTCTTTCCTCCCCTCGCCCGCCCGCCACCGGCGAAGCCCGGGAAGGGCCGAGCGAGGGCGGCCTTGCCCATGGGGCGAGGCGGCCTCGCCCGGATCAGGGCGAGGCGACCCTCGGCCCAGTGACAGGGCGAGGCCGCCCCTCGCCGGCCCATGGGCGAGCGACCCTCGCCGGCGGCGGGTGAGGCCGCCCCTCGCCGGCCATGGGCGAGGGTCGCCTCGCCGGTCGTCGGTGAGGGTCGCCTTGCCCAGTCTAGTGAGGCCGCCCTCGCCCATGGCCGGCGAGGGGCGACCTCGCCAAATCGGGCGAGGCGACCCTCGCCGCGCGCGGCGAGGCCGCCCGCGCCTCATCCATGGCCGGCGAGAAGCGGCCTCGCTGTCGCCGCGAGGCGGCCTCGCCTATCGCCGGCGAGGGTCGCCTCGCCCGGATCTAGCGAGGCCGCCCTCGCCGGCCATGGGCAAGGCCGCCCTCGCCCAACCCTTCCTGGGCTTCGCCGGCGGCCGGGCCGGCCACCGGCAACCGGCCGGCGATGGGAGAAAAGAAAAAAAAGAAAAGAAAGGAAAAAAGAAAGAAGAGGAAAAAAAAAGAAAAAAGGAAAAAATTTATTTAAAACAAAAAATGCTGACTGTACACGCTGACTCATCCTCCGGCGAGCCACGTCAGCGTCAGAAATTAATAAAAAATGCCACGTCGGATGTCCGGCCAAATTGGCACTTAAGTGATCTCTTTTTCTCCGACTTGACATCAAAGTGATCCGAAAAAAAGTTATGGCACCAAAGTGTCCTCCGTACACAACTTATGACACTACTGGTGTCCTTTTGCCATTTTTATTACGTCCATTGTAAACGAAAATTTCTTGTTCTTGTCCCTAACAGAAGGATGCACTTACAAAAGTTAGACGAGTTGGGAGAACTACACACCAATGAAATCGATCATGAGACGTCCATTTGAAAAATGACCAGTCGGATGCCCGAAGAAGGTTCCTCCATAAGGAAGCTTCGCCACGGCCAGAATCGCGACCGCCCCTATACAAAGGAAGTTCCCCGTCTCGCTTAGAGAGTCGCTGAAGTTGAAAATTGACTCGTACCTATGCGGGATTGTCGCGTTGGCCTTCAAAGCAAGGCAATAGTGGAGAAGGATCGGGATTATTATAGTATACTTCATGGCAAATTTTCAGTATTTTCGAGAGATGAAGTCTTAGAGATGCTAAGAGAGTTGGACAACAAATTTTTATGTGCTCTCTTGCTAATATTAATTTGTGAAAAGTTAGGCTTTCAAGGTGAGGTTGAATTGCTTATATACAGGAGTGTTAGATGGAAGCTCAACATGTAATACCGGGGCATGAGATTGTCGTCTTTTTGCTGTCGAGTCTTCCTTGTCATTCCTATGTGAGGCGACTCATGTTGTTGATGCTTGACTATCATACAATAATGACTTGTTGACCCAAAACGACCACCCGTTCAAAACGTGTCGAATGATTAGGAGCCTTATCTGTATTTTTCCGGATCACTACCAAACCCTATGCGACAATATCGAGTTAACTTGTAAGTATAATTATGGCCCACGTGATATTGTTAATGGATTAATAATTTTTTAAATGCTAAAATCATATTGGCCATAAAAAATTGTAACTTTTATGAAGACAGAATATGAAAATTTACAATTTCTATGAAGATAGAATATTATATGTGCTTTGATGGAAGGGATTGATTAAAAGCACTTATTGATAGTCTATATAAAGAGCATGGTCCTCTCTCCACCCACGGATAATGAAAGTTGTATTTTATCCTCTATCAAATGAAATACTTTAAGTAAAAGTGGATTAAGGGAGAGATATCGGATTTTTTCGTTTCTCCTAATTCTGCAACAATTTTTCTCGAAGTTATTGCTATGGATAAATGTATGTGTCTTTGTCTCTTCGTCAGATAACGCGATATGATGCGAAATAACAAGTTAGGTGATATAGAGTAATTGGACACTCTAAGCATCATCCGGCTTGAAATGAATATAATGTGCACGAGCTAATGACCATTATTGTTAGCTGCCAAAATAATCGATAATATTGACATACACTATGAAAATGTCACATGGTGTTGAACAAATCGATCGAATTAGGATTTGTTTTCTTGTGTATTATATTGCATCGAGAATCAAATGCAAATTATTCCTTTGGGCTACGGTCCAAACTGGTTTTAATCATTGCCTCCCACTTGCACCTTAATTAACCCTCGGCCTCATTTTTATCATAATTTGGGTGGTGCCACAAAATTCCAAAACCCTGTTTCGAGGAAGTTTCCAAAATGAGCTCAGATTCGAATCCCATTAGCTTTACATATTCAGTTTGAATACACATTTACACAGGCAAAAGAACACTATAAGTGCCATAACTTGTGTACGGCGCTCACTTTGGTGCCATAAGTTTTTTTTGGATCACTTTAGTGCTAAAATTTTTGAAAAATGATCACTTAAGTGCTAAAATTTTTGAAAACGATCACTTAAGTGCCAACTCCGTGCTGTACACAATTTTTCGCCGGAAATCCGACGTGGCATTTTTTTATTAATTTCTGAAGCTGACGTGGCTCGCCGGAGATTGGCACTTAAGTGATTGTTTTTCAAAAATTTTAGCACTTAAATGATCGTTTTAAACAAAAATTAGCACTTAAGTGATCAATTTTCAAAAATTTTAGCACTGAAGTGATCCAAAAAAAAACTTATGACACTTAAGCGATCGTTTTTCCTCCGACTTGGCACCAAAGTGATCCGAAAAAAAGTTATGGCACCAAAGTGATCTCCGTACACAAGTTATGGCACTTATAGTGTCCTTTTGCCTATTTACACAAAAACTCAAATTAGAGTTATGAGTCAACTACTGATATCTATTAGATCTCCACCCCGCGTTACTCCATCGGAAAACCTGCCTTCATTCATGGTCTCTTCCACTAAATCAAAACATGATGGCAATCTTCACCAAAATCTGGAATTATGCGTGAGATTTCCTTTCATTTGATCATATTCATTAAGACACGATATATATATTGGTGGCCACTAATGGAACACAAGTGGTGCTACTACTTGTTAAGATGCACAACTAGCAAAAGACCACTACATTATCCTAGGGATCGCAAAGAAAGAGCCCAAATCCCAATCCATAAGTATAATCAATTGAACTCATACTCACTCAAAATTTTAATCCAACAAGTTAAGAGAAAGCTAGATATATGGAGTATTCAATCCCTTATCAACTCTCTTAAGTGGGTCTCTTGTCCCTAACGCTAATATGTGCACCTAAACAAATTAGTGCCATTAAAGCTCATGACTTAGGTTCTTATATAAGGTTCAATGGATATTAATTCTAGTCTCCATATAGACTTAGGATAATTTCGGTTTCAATTGATTTAAGAAGGATTAAAATAAAATAAAATAAAATGTCATTAGGATTTTGTATAGATTGCATTTAGTCCTATAGTGTTCAAGCCGCACGTCATTTAGAGAGTCACATGTTTTATGATTAAATTTTAATAAGCATTTTATATAGCTAGCATCGATCAATAAGCATGTCCTGTGCATTATTTATGTTCATATGGCTCATATAACATGAAAGAAAATTAACAAAAAGGGTTAGTGTTACATCATTAAATTTTCATCATGTAATAATTTAGTGTAAGGTCATTAGGTCATATGTAGTGTCCTGAGAATTAATTTGCTGTTTTTATACTAAGAAGAAAACAAAAGGATAGCATTTCTTATATTTAATCTATGCTTAATTATTTCTTAGGTCATAATGTTCATGTCAAATTACGTCATTATCATTAAAAATTAATTTCATAGCATTGCATATATGTTAATTTATTACTGCGTAGCACACAAAACATTTAGGGTTTTGCGTTAGTTCATCGATGCATGTTAGATTAGGATGCATATAATCATAGAAAGTAATGAAGTCATGTCTATGTTGACTTTATTTTGTAAACAAGAAAATCCAAAACGAATTAATTGGCATTGCATCTTAGGTGTTAACCTAAATTATCTGATATGCTTAAGTTAAACATTAACCATGTTCATGTGAGCTTTTAATTTATCATCATCACCATCATGAAGTAAAAAGAAAAGAAATAAAAAAATATTAGATTAGCATGCCCAATAGGTCTGCATCATAGCAATTCGTTGTCTCTGCATAATCATGTCCGCTTTAGATACCACATATAGGCCATGCACGCACAATCTCATTGCTTGCCTGCTTCCCAAGTAATAGCTCGTGAAAATCTCATCGTGATGGATAATGATGAGCTTTGCTTTTGACTGGTTAGTGCATCTAGGTTCTTTAATCTTTAAAAGCAATTTATTCATTGTTTTGATTATTGGGCGTTACATTATTGGTTGCACACTTACATGATTATTACTTGCATGTTAGTGATTTAAGATTAAAACCGACAAAGATTACATGCAAAAAATTGTTGATATAAAGGAAAATGATATCGAAAAAGCGTTAGATTACTATAGTATAATCAAGTTGCCATATCTGTAAAACTCTCATTAGCATAAGTAAATTGTACTCCTGCATTTTACTTAAGTTTGTAATTGTCCCATAACCTATTAGTGGCGGTTCAAAAAAAAGGTAAGATATGTTATGGGTTTAAATTCCAAGTTGCGTTTGATTTGTATTTGAGAGAGTCTGTGCAAAGTGATGGAACCATCTCTCTAATGAGTAACCGTTTGAGCCCATCTAGATCTGGCAAAATGGGTATAAAATTCATTTATTGAAATGGGTCATAAATGGGACATCTCAAATTGCGTGAGCCAACCATAACGGGTTTGTAAAATGAAAAGGCAAAATAAATGAGTCTAAATGGGCAAGTTATGAACTCATTTACAACCGACTTAACCCATTTCTTAGCCCGGCTCACTTATGCGCGAGTTAGTCAAGAAAAAGAGGATGGGACACTAGGTTGCACGCTCACTCTCTTTTCTCTCTCCCTCTTCAATTGGCCGGATTTGATTCGCCGCCGCCCCCACCGCCGCGCATCTTCCGTGGCCCTCCCTCTATTCAGCTATTACAAATCGTCCAATTCAGTCGCTAAACACCACTTCCTCTATTCAGCCTCTTGATTCAAGATCAATCCCGAACTCGCCCTCACTCTCTGCTCTCGAAATCGATTCGGTTCCACCCAATCAACCACCGCCAAAAGTCCCAATTTCATCTCTGATTCAATAAAACCCTGTATCGAAGATTCGCAAAGCGAATGGAACATGCAAGTTGGGAGCCCCAAAATCGTTCCTTCAACGCCTGTTGCCAGGTTGAGCTTGAGTGATCAGGCTTTCTTTCTCTTTGCCTTCATTGTTGCACTGTAATTGTTCTTTTTTCTTTTTCTGGGTCATTTTATTTTGTGTTTTTTTAGCTGAAAGTATACAAAATTATTGCACAACTGCGGTGTTTTAAAGCTGAAGTTTGTAGTGGTGTGGGGAGTGGGGTTGATCATGATGAACTGAGTTTGAAATTTGATTGATACAGACTTCTGTTACGTTCACGAGGCTTGTGGTCACCATTGTTCTGACACTATATATAAGATAGACTGATTACGTTTAAGATTATGTGATGTATATATGTGGTGTGTGCTTGACATGCTTGATCCAGCACACTTCTCAATTGGGTCAAGGTCAATTCATGTTGAAACTACGATGATAGGAGATAACGGAACCGGTATGATCAAATTTTGTAGATTCTTAACACACTGAACCACTGTTGACCATTGAAAAGTAAAAGTTCTTGTTGCTGACTGATCTCTAATTCAATGGAAATCCATAGTTGCTTGGCTCTGATTTGAATCCTGAGACGCTTTGTGCTCATCGTGATTCAAAACATGACAGTTTCAAGCAAAAAACTGTAGAAGACAATTGCCTTCAAGATTGCTTGGAAACTTTTGCTGCAACTTTAGGTCATTTTTCCAGCTGAAGTGCTTGGTTAATTTCCATTGCAGGTTCTTTTGTCAAAGAGTGGTTGGAAGCCAATTCCTCTTGTTGACATAATAGAGGGACCTGTGGTGAAGAGAGCTTATCAGATAGCCTTGCTTTGCCTTCATCCAGATAAAATTGCAGCAGAAGGGTGCTACTTCACATCCAAAGTACGTAGCAGAACAAGTCTTCGACATATTGCAGGTGATTTTCGTTACTTACCTGATGCGTTCTATGTCGGTTTGTGATTTTGGGATAGTCAGAACACATTTTTCTCATTAATAAAAGCAGAGTTTGTCAAGATTATTGTAGATGCTGTAATCTTTTCATAAGTCACAACGTGCTAATGAATAAAAAAATCTTCCCCAGGTTTTATGCTCTGCTGTTTGCGTTTTGGGGAAGCGTGCATTTGGTACGTCGCTTTTCAATTTTTTCGTTGTTTGATTCCTCTGTTTTTAAGTATGCATGCGTCAAGCTTGTGCTCTCGCTTTCTCTGTTTGTATATGTGAGTAACATAGTCAGAACACGTTCTCTGCCGGCTTGTCTTGGTCCCACATTTAGTTGTTGCTGTTATAGTTCTGGCTTCATTGTCTCCCGATACTTGTTTGGCTATTGCACGTAAATCCTAGGAAATGATGGGGAGGGTGTTCGCCGAGTGAGATGGAGATCCCCACATTCAGGAGACCTCTCGTCCTTTACCGTGCAAAAAAATTCCTTTTTTCGTGCAGTCAAATCTCGGGATTTTGGCCCTCCTCTTGATTTGCAATCAGTCTTCATTTGCCTCGTTCAACTTTTCTCGGTTGCATTTCGGCGTGTGAACGCCCAAATTTGGCCGAGCGAATAAATATTGTTTCCATATTGCTACAAATCCCCACAGTTCCTTTCTCAAGTTCACTCATCACCTCCATGATTTAACGGCCAACTCATTTCATGCGCATTAACTTATGGATTCTTTCCCTTAATCTCTCTCATTCCAACCCCCCGCTCAATGTCTTGCCGATCTTGCCTCTTGCCTGCCATATTTTCAAGTAAAAATATTCCAGTGATTTCTCCTCTTGGTTGGCCATGATCTCTTTCCCGGTTTTGCCTCCTCAAATCTCCAAAATTACGTCGTTGGTTCAATTGGATTAAAACTTAGAAGGTCAAGATCATGAGTTAAAAAGAGAAGTTGCCCTTTTGGTCAACTAATTAATTTTGTGGTTTATAAGGCTAATTAGCCTAAATGCAAGCTTAATTGACCTTGCTTGTGATTGAATTGAGGAATGATTGCTCTCAATATCAATTAGTGATGCATTACCCTTCGAAAGGTAGAATAGGATACTATAAGATAAATGACTTGCTTATATCTCATGCACTAAATTCTAAAGAGGCTCGTTGCATATCAGGTCAATTCTCGTCTCCATTAAAGCAACTCATTCATGGTTATTGCTATCTTATTATCGTTTGCCTTGTATGGGATCATTCTTATCAAAAAGCAAATGACTTGCTTATATGTATGCACAATATCGCATTCTATTCCTTGGCAATAATGAAGGCCAACTCTTTGTGTGACAATGTTCCGTAAAAATCTTAGAACTCCCGCTATGGAAAGGTATGCAATGTGTACTCCTCTAGCTACAAACAAAAACCCTCACTCTTCCCATTTCTCTTTTTTTAGTTTTGCCAATTCGATCTTCTTATCATGGCCCTGAGCAATGCAAACCTCTTCCTCTTGGCGGCTCCTCTGAAAACACTATGGCGAGAAGCACTAGGAGTAGTGGGTTTAATTGATTTTTCTGTTTTAATCGAGCCATAATTAGGGAAAGTGATCTAAGTGAAAGTTGAAGTAGACATCCTTAGCTTCAATTGGAAACTAGAATCACTTAATTTGAAGTTTGTCAAGGCCTTAAATTGCATTAATACGTAGAAGGTCAGAATCATAGGTAAAAGAGAGAAGTTGCCCTTTTGGTCAACTAATTTATTTTGTAATTTATAGGGCTAATTAGCCTAAATGCATGCTTAAATAGACCTTGCTTGTGATTGAATTGAAGATTGATTGCTCTTAATATCGATTAGTGATGCATGACCCTTCATTGGGTAGAATAGGATATTATAAGATAAATGACTAGCTTATATGTCATGCGCTAAATTCTGAAAAGGCTCATTGCATATCAGGTCAATCCTAGTCTCCATTAAAGCAACTCATTCATTGTTATTGCTATCTTATTATCGCTTGCCTTATATGGGATTGTTCTATTCGAAAAGTAAATGACTTGCTTATATGTATATAAAATATCACATTCTATACCTTGGCAATAATGAAGGCCAAGTCCTTGGGTGACAATATTCCGTAAAAATCACGGAACTTCCGTTATAAAAAGGTATGCAATGTGGACTCTTCTAACCACAAACGAAAACCCTTGCTCTTCCCGTTTCTGTTTTTTTTTTTCTTATCATGGCCCTAAGCAATGTAAACCTCTCCCTCTTGGCAGCTCCTTTGAAAACATTACAGTGAGAAGCGCTAAGAGTAGTGGGTTTAATTGCCCTTTTGCTAAACTAATAGATTTTGTGGTTTATAAAGCTAATTAGCCTAAATGCATGCTTAATTGACCTTGCTTATGATTAAATTGATGATTGATGACAAAATTAATATCGATTAGTGATGCATGACCCTTCGACGAGTAGCATAGGACATTGTAAGCTAAATGACTTGCTTCTATGTCATGCACTAAATTCTGAAAAGACTCGTTGCATATTGGGTTAATCCTAGTCTCCAATAAAGCAACTCATTCATGGTTATTGCTATCTTTTTATCGCTCGCTTTCATTTTCTTTTCAATAAGAACAATCCCATACAAAGCAATCGATAATAAGATGGCAATAACCATGCATGAGTTGCTTTAATGGAGACCAAGATTGACCTGATATGTGACGAATCTTTTCAGAATTTAGTGCATGACATATAAGGAAGTCATTTATCTTACAATGTACCCGTCGAAGGGTCATGCATCACTAATCAATAGTGAGAACAATCAATCATCAATTCCATCACAAACAATATCAATTAAGCATGCATTTGGGCTAATTAGCCTTATGAACCACACAATCAATTTGTTGAACAAAATGACAACTTCTCTCTTTTTTCCACAATTTTGACCTTCTAAGTTTTTATCCAATTGAAGGCCTTGACAAACTTCAAATTAAGTGTTTCTAATTGCCAATTGAAGCTTAGGACATCTACTTCAACTTTCATTTAGATCACTTTCCGTAATTATGACTCAATTAAAAGAGAAAAATCAATTAAACCCACTACTCCTAGCGCTTGTTACCATAGTATTTTCAGAGGAGCTGCTAAGAGGGAGAGACTTGCATTACTTAAGGCCATGATAAAAAGATTGAATTGGCACAAGAAAAGAGAAATGGGAAGAGTGAGGATTTTTGTTTGTGGTGAGAGGAGTCCACAATGGATACCATTCTATAAAGGGAGTTCCAAGAGTTTTACCGAATGTTGTCACACAAGGAGTTGGCCTTCATTATAGCCTTTCTATAGAATGTGATATTTTGCACACATATAAGCTAGTCATTTGCTTTTCGATAAGAACGATCCCATACAAAGTAAGCGATAATGAGATAGCAATAACCATCTGTAATGGAGACTAGAATTGACCTGATATGCATGGAGCCTTTTCAGAATTTAGTGCATGACATATATGCAAGTCATTTATCTTACAATGTCCTATGCTACCCGTCAAATGGTCATGCATCACTAATCGATATTGAAAGCAATCGATAATCAATTCAATTACAAGCAATGTCAATTAAGCATGCATTTAGGCTAATTAGCTTTATAAACCATAAAATCAATAAGTTGACCAAAGGGGCAACTTCTTCCTTTTACCTATGATTCTGACCTTCTAAGTTTTAATCCAATTCAAGGCCTTGACAAACTTCAAACTACGTGATTCTAATTGCCAATTGAAGCTTAGGATGTCTACTTCAACTTTCATTTGGATCACTTTCTCTAATTATGGTTTAATTAAAATAGAAAAATCAATTAAACCCACTACTTCCAGCATTTCTCGCCATAGTGTTTTCAGAGGAGTCGCCAAGAGGGAGAGGTTTGCATTACTTAGGGCCATGATAAAAAAATTGAATTGGCAAAAAAAAAAAATAGAAATGGAAAGAGCGAGGGTTTCAGTTTGTGGGGAGAGGAGTCCACATTGCATACCTTTTGATAATGGAAGTTCCAAGATTTTTACGGGATGTTGTCACAAAAGGAGTTGGTGTTCATTATTGCTAAGATATAGAATGTGATATTTTGCATACATATAAGCAAGTCATTTCCTTTTTAATAAGAATGATCCCATACAAAGAAAGCGATAACAAAATAGCAATAACCTTGAATGAGTTGCTTTAATAGAGATTAGGATTGACTAGATATGCAACGAGCCTTTTCATAATTTAGCGCATGACATATAAGCAAGTTATTTATCTTACGGTGTCCTAGGCTACCCATCGATGGGTCATGCGTCACTAATCGATATTTAGAACATTGAATCATCATTTTATTCATAAGTAAGGTCAATTAAGCATGCATTTAGGCTAATTTGCCTTATGAACCACAAAATTAATTAGTTGACCCAATGGACAACTTCTGTCTTTTACTTATGATTCTAACCTTGTTAGTTTTAATTCAATTGAAGGCTTTGACAAATTTCAAATTAATTGCCAATTGAAGCTTATGATGTCTACTTTAACTTTCATTTAGATCACTTTCCCTAATTATGGCACAATTAAAACAGAAAAATCAATTAAACCCACTACTCCTCACGCTTCTCGCCATAGTGTTTTCAGAGGAACTGCCAAGAGGGAGAGGTTTACATTGCTTAGGGCCATGATAAGAAGATTGAATTGGCAAAAAAAAAAAAAGGAAGAGCGAGGGTTTATGTTTGTGGTGAGAGGAGTCCACATTACATACCTTTCTATAATGAGAATTCCAAAATTTTGACGGAACGTTCTTACACAAGGAGTTGGCTTTCATTATTGCTAAGGTTAGAATGTGATATTTTGCATACATATAAGCTAGTCATTTTCTTTTTGATAAGAATGATCCCAGATAAAGCAAGCAATGATAAGATAGATATAACCATGAATGACTTTCTTTAATGGAGACTAGGATTGACTTGATATGCCAAGAGCCTTTTAAAATTTAGCGCGTGATATATAAGTAAGTCATTATCTTACAATGTCTTATGCTACCCGTCGAAGTATGATCTATCACTAATCAATATTGACAGTAATCAATCATCAATTCAATTACAAGCAAGGTCAATTCAACATGCATTTAGGTTAATTAGCCTTATAAACTACAAAATCTATTAGTTAACAAAAAGGACTTCTCTCTATTCCGTATAAATCTGACCTTCTAAGTTTTAATCCAATTGAAGGCCTTTACAAACTTCAAATTAAGTTATTCTAATTGCCAATTGAAGCTTAGGATGCCTGCATCAACTTTCATTTAGATCACTTTCCCTAATTATGGCTCAATTAAAACATAAAAATCAATTAAACCCACTACTCTTAGCGTTTCTCGCCATAGTGCTTTCAGAGGAGTCTCGAATAGCTGGAGATTTGCATTGCTCAGGGCCATGATAAGAAGATTGAAATGGCCAAAAAAATAAAAAGAGAAATGGGAAGAGCGAGGGCTTTTGTTTGTGGTGAGAGGAGTCCCCAATGCATACATTTCAACAATGGGAGTTCCAAGATTTTTATGGGACGTTGTCGTAGAAGGAGTTGACCTTTATTATTACCAAGGTATTGAATGTGATATTTTGCATAGATATAAGCAAGTCATTTACTTTTCGATAAGAAAGATCCTATACAATGTAAGTGATAATAAGATAGTAATAACCATGAATGAGTTGCTTTAATGGAGATTAGGATTAACTCAATATGCAACAAACATTTTCAGAATTTAGTGCATTACATATAAGCAAGTCATTTATCTTAAGTGTCCAAAGCTACCCGTTGAAGGGTCATGCATCACTAATCGATGTTGAGAGCAATGAATCATCAATTCACTCACAACAAAGGTCAATTAAACATGCATTTATGCTAATTAGCCTTATAAACTACAAAATCAATTAATTGACCAAATAGGCAACTTCTCTCTTTTACCTATATGATTATGACCTTCTAAGTTTTAATCCAATTGAAGGCCTTAACAAACTTCAAATGAAGTGATTCTAATTGCCCATTGAAGCTTAGAATGCCTACTTCAACTTTCATTTATATCTCTTTCCCTAATTTTGGCTCAATTAAAATAGAAAAAACAATTAAACCCACTACTCCTAGTGTTTCTCGCCATAATGTTTTCAGAGGAGCCGCCAAGAGGAAGAGGTTTGCATTGCTCAGGGCCATGATAAGAAGATTGAATTGGCACAAAGAAAGAGAAATGGGAAGAGCGAATGTTTTTGTTCGTGGTGAGAGGAGTCCATATTTCACATCTTTCCATAACGAGAGTTTCAAGATTTTTATGGAATGTTGTCACACAAGGAGTTGGCATCCATTATTGCCAAGGTGTAGAATGTGATATTTTGCACACATATAAGCAAGTCATTTTCTGTTCGATAAGAACGATCCCATACACTAGCATATATGTATGCAAAATATCATATTCTATACTTTGGCAATAATGAAGGCCAACTCATTGTGTGATAACATTCCGTAAAAATCCTAGAATTCTCCGTTATTAAGGTATACAATGTGGACTTCTCTCACCTCAAATAAAAACCCTCACCCATCCCATTTCTCTTTGCTTTGCCAATTCAATCTTCTTATCATGGCCATGAGCAATGCAAACCTCTCCCTCTTGGCAGCTCCTTTGAAAACACTATGGCGAGAAGCGATAGGAGTAGTGGGTTTAAGTGATTTTTCAATTTTATTTAAGCCATAATTAGGAATAGTGATCTAAAGGAAAGTTGAAGTAGACATCATAAGCTTCAATTAGCAATTAGAATTACTTAATTTGAAGTTTGTCAAGGCCTTCAATTGGATTAAAACTTAGAAGGTCAGAATCATAGTAAAAGATAGAAGTTGTGCATTTGGTCAACTAATTGATTTTGTGGTTTATAAGGTTAATTAGTCTAAATGCATGCTTAATTGACCTTTGTTGTGAATGCATTGATGATTCATTGCTCTCAATATCAATTAGTGATGCATGACCCTTCGACGGGTAACTTAGGACACTGCAAGATAAATGACTTGCTTAAATGTTATGCACTAAATTCTGAAAAGGTTAGTTGGATATCAGGTCAATCCTAATCTCCATTAAAGCAACTCATTCATGATTATTGCTATCTTATTATCACTTGCCTTGTTTGGGATTTTTCTTATCAAAAAGTAAATGACTTGCTTATATGTATGCAAAATGTCATATTCAATACCTTGGCCATAATGAAGCTAACTCCTTCCGTGACAACGCCCCGTAAAAATCTTGGAACTCCCATTGTTAAAAGGTATGCAATGTGGACTCCTCTCACTGCAAAAAAAAACCCTCGCTCTTCCTATTTCTCTGTTTTTTTGCCAATTTAATCTTCTTATCATGGCCCTGAGCAGTGTAAACCTCTTCCTCTTGGCGGCTTCTCTGAAAGACTATGACGAGAAGTGTTAGACGTAGTGGGTTTAATTGATTTTTCTGTTTTAATTGAGCCATAATTAGGGAAAGTGATATAAATTAAGGTTGAATGTGACGTTCTGAAATTTCCGCCAATTGGAAATTATGAAATAACTGAGTGTTATGATATGTGTTTGTAGTAAATTTCTCGCCCGGAACTGATCATTCTTGGGAATGCTAACCATTAGGGAAAGGCTAATAGGGGAATTAAATTCGCGCGACTAAAGGAAATTCAATCGTGAATGAACTTCGACCATTAAATCGCGGAAGTGATATTTTGAGCCACTGTTGGCCGATCCAAGGATAGATAGGGGTCAGTTCGCCACTGTCCTAGTAGTGGATCGCGGGTGATTCCGTTGGACCACGAAACGACTTGACGAATGATTCTGAAATTATACCGAACGATCGTACCCCTCGGATCAAGTGATTGATCTTCGCGATTTTGATGACGACCGAGGTCGTCACGCACCGAACGGACTTGCACGTGACTCGATTTAGTATCAGTAATGAGTCGATTTCGCGAATTTCCCCAGCAAGCCGTCTGTTAGCTCGAGAAACGCTCGAGTTGCGTTTAATAGAATTTAATTATTGAATTTTTGCCCAAATTGGACACCGGAAAATTAGGAAGTCACGCCGGAACGTTAGGACGACGTTGCACGTGACACGTGCAAATTTTTGGTGCGCTCAAATCCTTCGGAAAAATTCGATTTGGACAAGAAACGGAGGAAGTGACCAAAATACCCCTAGGATTTATTAAAGGGCAAGCTTTAAGGGTAAAGGGCATTTTGGTAATTTTCCCCTAAAATTTTGATTGGACAATTTGACCCTTGGATTTTTGGAAAATTACAAGTATGCCCTTGGATATTTTTGTGCTAGAATCGATCTCGGCCGTCGGATCAAGATAAGATCGAATCGGGACCGTTGGATTACAAATAAGAGGAAAGGGTATTATGGCCATTTCCACCTTTGGTCAAGATTTACTATTTAGGTCAAGAACACTTCTTCTTCTCCCCATTCTCCTTCTTCCTTGCCGTGAGACCCCTCCCCCATTTAGTTTTTTTTCCTTCTCCCCACCGTGAGCTTCCTTGGTCAGTTCCTTCCTCCACCGCCGGCGCCGCCGCTTGCCAAGCCTGACCGCCTCAAGCCGCCGCCTAGCCACCAGTATCGCCCCAAGCCACCACCACCAGCCACCATTTCTCTCTCTCTCCCTCTCTTTCTCACCGTGGAGGCAAGACCCACGGCCAAGCAAGCCCCACGCCGCCGCCGCTCAAGCCGAATGCCGTCATGAGCCGTACGCCGTCGCCGTAGAGTGCCGCCGCTTCCCGTTCTAGCTGATTAAGTATAGAACTTGGTAAGTCACACTCTAATCCCGATTTAGGATATTGGGTATCGACGGATAATTTGATTTGGGGTGAAATTGACAATATGCGGGTGCGAAATAATGGGGTTTATGATTGGAATGTTGTGGCGGGCCTTGAGGATTATTTTTGGAATTTTTGGAGGACAATTTGAGGTGAATTACAAGTTGTGATTTACTGTTCACAAGCTGCGAGTTACTGTTCACAAGCTGCGAATTACTGTTCACGGGGCTGTGATGATTTGTTCGGGACGCAAGTTGGATTTTTAGAACCATTATTTAATGGCGAGAAAGTGTCGCGAAGGATCGGAATTAATCCAACGCCATTTGGATGGAGAAAATTGGCAATTTACGTGTTTTAGGCATGTTTGAATTATTCTGGATGGGGTTGATTTAATTGAGTGCTTATTTGCGTGTTTATATAGTGGACATATGTCTGTTTGGTGCACGCGTGCGGCCAGTTTGAATTAATTGTTGATATTGGCCATGTGAATTGTTGAGTGAACTCTATCTGCGTGTGACTCGACGCGTACACGGATCGCGTGTGTTGGGCCAGTTGCGTGTGGTAAATGCATATCGAGTATGTGCATGAGTAAGGAGAAGTTGTGGTGTGACAAGTGATTGTGGGAAAGTATGCGAAGGTGTGATAGTACGAGAATGGGATCGAGCCGAGTATCGTAAACTCGGGCAGCGATCACGTAGGTCTGTTGCATTTGGCACAGACTGAGGCTTGAAAAAGCAAGTATGAGAATCGGCCCGAGGCACGATCAGCTCGGGTGAGACCGGGATTGGATCGAGGCATCATAAGCTCGGGTTCCAATCATGTAGGCCTGTCGCATTTGGCGCGGGCTAAGTTGGGATCGGGCCTGGGGCGTGTAATGCTCAGGTCGCGATTGGGGCCTGAGGCGTGAACGGGTACGCGGGCCGGATGTGGTGAATGATCGCAGTGTGCCCGAGGCGTGTACTTCAACGCGGGTCACTAGCGAGGAATATGAAAGAGGAATGAGGATGGAAGGAATAGTGGGATGAGAATGGTACATGCGCATGTTTGCATCTGATGTAATTGTGATTGAGTGCGGGTGTGCGCATGATTGAGCCTGACCATATTAATTGATGTGCCTACTTTGTGATTACTTGATGTACGTGAATGTGTGTGATTGCGTAATTGTCTGGAGGTACGTGATAGCCTAGGTTGGGTTTAGGGGTGTATTTGCTGAGATATAATCTCATGGTTATGTAAACCAACAATTTTCAGAACCCCGACCTGAGCGATGAACCCTCCACCACCGCCACCAGTACGTTTTGGAGTACCAGTGCATACGGACTATGAGGTAGCTGAGTTTCCGATGGGTGACGGGATGACCTGGATAAGACACACGACGACCGTGTTTGTAGAAGTCGGAAAGCTTGCCTTAGATGAGAACCATTTTTGAGGTTGAACGTCAGGTCATCGACTCCTTTTTTATTTTGGTAGTTTCAGTAAAGTGTGCACTGGTAGTCAGAGATTTGTTTTATTGTATATATGGTGGATCAAGTTGGACAAGAAATGGAAATGTATATTCTCCAAATTCTCCCCAGTTTAAGTTTGTCCGGGTGTTTTATGGTTTCCGTTTGCGCGATTAAATCTCTGATGTTTAGTTGAGGTTGGCGATAACCTGGGACGTCGCAACTGTTCGACCGGAGGCGGGATGTCGTGGGATCGACGGGGGTTCGGGGCGTGACATTGAAGTAAACATACTAAGCTTCAATTGGCAAGTAGAATTACTTTATTTGAAGTTTGTCGAGGCCTTTAATTGTATTAAGACTTAGAAGGTCAGAATCATCGGTAAAAGAGAGAAATTGCCCTTTTGGTCAACTAATTGATTTTGTGGTTTATAAGGCTAATTAGCTCAAATGCATGCGTAATTAACATTGCTTGTGATTGAATTGATGATTGATTACTTTCAATGACTAGTGAGCCTTGGACGGGTCGCGTAGGACATTGTAAGATAAATGACTTGCTTATATATCATTCACCAAATTCTGAAAAGGCTTGTTGCATATCGGGTAATCCTAGTCTCCATAAAAGCAACTCATTCATAGTTATCACTATCTTATTATCGCTTGGCTTTTGTGCCTTTTGTGGAATTGTTCTTATCGAAAAATAAATGACTAGCTTATATGTATGCAAAATATCACATTCAATATCTTGGCAATAATGAAGGCCAACTCCTTGTGTGACAAAGTTCCATAAAAAATTTGGAACTCCCGTTGTAGAAAGGTATGCAATGTGGACTCCTTTCACCACAAAGAAAAACCCTCGCTCTTCCCATTTCTCTTTTTTTTTTTTTTTGCCAATTCAATCTTCTTATCATGGCTCTAAGCAATGCAAACTTCTCTCTCTTGGCGGCTCCTCTGAAAACGTTATGGCAAGAAGCACTAGGAGTAATGAGTTTAATTGATTTTTCTGTTTTAATTGAGCCATAATTACATAAAGTTATCTAAATAAAAGTTGAAGTAGACATCCTAAAATTCAATTGGTAATTAGAATCACTTAATTTAAAGTTTTTCATGGCCTTCAATTGGATTAAACTTAGAAGGTCAGAATCGTAGGTAAAAGAGAGAAGTTGCTCTTTTGGTCAACTAATTGATTTTGTGGTTTATAAGACTAATTAGCCTAAAAGCATTCTTAATTGACCTTGCTTGTGATTGAATTGATGATTGGTTGCTCTTAATATTGATTAGTGATGCATGACCCTTCGATGGGTCGCTTAGGATGTTGTAAGATTAATGACTTGCTTATATGTCATGCACTAAATTCTGAAAAGGCTTGTTGCATATTAGGTTAATCCTAGTCTCCATTAAAGCAACTCATTTACAGTTATTGCTATCTTATTATTGTTTGCCTTGTATGGAGCGTTCTTATTGAAAATAGAATGACTTACTTATATGTATGCAAAATATCGCATTCTATACCTTAGCAATAACAAGGGCCAACTTATTGTGTGATAACGTTCCGTAAAAGTCTTGGAACTCCTGTTATAGAATGGTATGTAATGTGGACTACTCTCACCACAAACAGAAACCCTCGCTCTTCCCATTTCCCTTTTCTTTGCCAATTCAATGTCATTATCATGGCCTTGAGTAATGCAAACCTCTCTCTCATGGCGGCTCCTCTGAAAATATTATGGCAAGAAGCGCTAAAGCCAAATATGACAGGAGGAACCGTAACCCCCCTCACCCAAAGTAGTAGCCCTACACATGCCTTAGGTTTGAAGGGTTATTTAGGACTTATGTGCATTTTGCTACACATATAAGGTCCCATTACAAGTTGGAGAGTGAAGAAGTGAAGTGGATGAGGTTGGAAGTGAAACACATGTGACGTGGGAACCATCAAGGGACGGCAAGGGCTGCGGTTGGCCCCTGGTCGAGGCGGTTCGACCCATACAAGTTAAGAAGTTAAGGTTGAAAACCATAGAAAGGAATGTACCAATGCCTGTGAAAACAAAAAGTGTTGAACTACAAGAGATGGAGTTGGAGATGAAACTGGAGATGGAGAGGAGGACGTCTAAGGTATTGGAAATGCTCTAGGGATTTGGGAGACTAAGGAAGAACTTGTAATATGAGGTCTATGAGATGTCGATTATCTTGCATTGAAATGAGTATGAGTTATAGACTTTAATTAGGAGCCTAGTGATTTAACCTACTGCTTGTTGAAATTCAAATGGGGGTTAATAATCACTTCGTATTAATTAATCAACCCATAATTGATTATGAGGTTGATTGGTAATCAAATGTATGATCAACATCAATTTCTCAAATCAAACTCAATTTTCTTGGTGAAAGATTGATTGAGTGAACTTGCTAATATTTGGATTAAGTGATTACGTGAATAAGAATGGGATGACAATGGAGACTGGTGGTCGAGAGTTTGAGGAGGTGGTCCAAGGTGGTGGTTAGACTTAGGTTTATTTGCTTAGCTTGGCAGTTATTAGGCTAGCTTAATTAACAGCCATATGAATTAATAATCAAAATAGCTCAGATTTTATAAATTTAAAAATAAAATTAAACTTAGAATCACTCCCTTAATAAATGAGTTATTTAGTTTAGAATGATACTATCATTCTCAATAAAACGAGTAGAAGTTAGGCCCGCCTTAATTTAACTCAAATGTAGGAATTAAGCTTAGTCTTTAGCATCAAGCTTACGGGGGTTCATGTCCCGAGATCTATAATAAGGCGATGTAATTCTTTACCCGACTTGGTATCTGATCAAGCTCATGGGTGACCATGTCACGGGGCGTCGAGCACAGCCATGCATATTCTTTACCCGACAAGTATCGGGTTTTTTTTCTCGTAATTTACTTTAAATCTTTTCAATTCTTGGGCATTTACTTTCCGCACTTTCAATGCATTAATAGTTCTTTTTCTTTTTAGCACAGTTAGGATAAGCCTTAGGATCACTAGTAAACTCCTAAAAATAATTACATGAACACTTAGCGATATCGAATGAACATTAGGACTCATAATTGGAAAAGACCGTTTGATCACTTTGAGGAGAAATCTAACCAAGTTAGAGGTATTGAAGGGACACTAGTAGAAACTAGGGTTAATATCACAAATCTCAAACTGATATACTTGAGATAAATTTACCTCAAACTAATTTTTTGACCACCGAAAATCCAAACTGGTACATCTATGACAATTTCACCCTCCGTCAGTTTTTGTTAAATTTTACCATCAAATTTCTGAGTTGGATGACACGTGGTAATTGACGGATATATCAATTTAGGGTTTTATCCTCCTTTTGTAATAGGTGTACCAGTTTGTGGTTTTTCATAATATTAATCCAATTTGAAGAAGGGTAAATTTATCACAAATGTACTGATTTTGGGTTTTTGGTGGTCAAAATATTAGTTTAGGATAAATTTATCACATGTGTACCAGTTTAGAGTTTTTAGTGGTCAAAAAATTAGTTTGCCATAAATTTATCATAGATGTACTAGTTTGGGATTTTTCATGATATTAACCTTAGAAACTATTAATGTAATCACGTTCCTGAACTTAGAAAACTCATTGTGTAGAAAGTGAGGCAATCTCTCGTGCCTCACTTGGTTTCTAGCCAACTCCATAAGGCTAGTGGCATCTCCCATCTCACATAGAATCCTTTAGGATTAATCTGAACATAAAAAATGAAACCAACGTTGCGCCTAATTGAGAGCCATTGACCTACCTTTTGGGCATTACCTTTAAACCCATCATTTTCCTCCAACAACTCGTGTCGATGAAAAAGAAGGGATGCAACAAATACAAACCTATAGCCATTAACCTTGTACTTCAAAGATGGGCAATCGAAATTTTTCATCATAGGATTTTGGTGACGGATGAAAATTGCCTATAGTTTCTCATCACAGGTCTTTGTTGACACATTAGAAAGGCGCCTAGAGTTTCTCATCGTAGGACTTTGGAACTACCTAGAGTTTTTTATCATAGGTGTTGAAACCACCTGGAGTTTTTTATCCTAGGAATTTGTATGCCTATGGTTCTACGCTCACGACTTGAAATGTCTAAGGTTTTTCACTTAAAAATTTGAGATGCCTAAAGTTTTTCACTCTGAATTTGAAAAGTGCCATAATTTTCGTACGGCACTCACTTTAGTGTCAAAACTTTTTACTGGATCACTTAAGTGTTCAATCGGAGAAAAATTGATCACTTAAGGGCCTCCGATAACAAATTCTAGCCGAAAGTCTTACGTGGCTTTATTAATTAGATATTAATGTCTACATGGATTTTTTATAAGAAAAAGGAAGTCCACATCGTCTACATCTTTGGTCAATCAAGTTTACACAGACAGTGGAAACACACCATTGTTGTCCTTCAAGGTGCCGTCGTCACCGAAGGCGTCGAACGAGCCATCATCTATGGCCATCGTAGATATTCTATGACTAACAAGGCGGGTTGTCATCCCTTTTCCTTCACTGTGGTAGATCAGATCTAGCCGACTTAGAGTCATGGTGATAAAGCCAACTAGATTTGGACGAGTGGCTCAAGTGGAGAAAATAGGCGAAGACTTGACAATTCTTCTTCAAGCAGCTTTTGGTGCAACTATATCAATGAGTCCCGCTGTGATAGCACTAGTCAACAAGTAGTCGATTTAATCCCTGAGTTATTTCAACGACGACAAAGGAAAGCCTTTCCCAGGGCATCGCTGTTCAGACTTTCTCCATGGAGTTTGCTAAATTCTAAATATGACTTTGATTCTATCCTAATTTATCTTTTATTTTCTGTTTCATTTTGTTTTTTTTCCATTCTCTTGCTGTTTGCCAAATTCCATTGCCAATGGTTGCACTGTAGAGGGGGAAATTGAATTTTCAAGGAAGATGTTTGATGAATGACAGAGCTGAACTCTATTTTGAGGAGTTTTTTGTTCAAGATAGTGATTCATCTTAGGTCTTCTTCATTGTCCTTAAGACGCCAAAAAATCGCCATCACTACTGCCTTCCATTGCACCCATAGCCATGCCAAGCCTACCTTTGTTTGCCCTTGTTTTCGAAAGCAATCGCTGGAGAACTCATGCCGCGGCCGCCACTGTGGAGACTAACTGTGCAACTTAAAGGGGGGACGGAGGAGTGAATAGGTTGCTTAGGAAGATATTATAATTTTTCGCAGAAAACAGCGGGTAACAGAGATGTATTGAAAAACACTAAATGTATGAGAGAAAAAGTATCACTTGTATACAAGATATATAGTGGTTCGGCTTTATCCCCAAGCCTACGTCCACTCTCACCACTAACAGTCACAAGTTGGCCGGATTGCAATAGTAATTTGCTGATCAAAGTACACTTCTACAAGCACCACTCTTATCAGATTGTAGATCACACTATCAGGAGATGGATGCTGCTATCACTTGGTACACTTGAAACTTCAATACAATTACAATGCAGCAAGTGCTATAGACAAAATAGGAGCTTTTTGCTCAGTATACAGCAAGTAAAAGATTTCAGAATTCTTGTAAGCACACACACTTACTCATAACTTGTTGGCTTCAGAGACCTTCTCGTTTATAGGCATCTTCAAACTAGTCGTTAGTGATGTCTCGGAGAGGCAAAGTAGACATTAGAGTTGTTGGAGCTGTTGTCCTCGGAACTAACTGCCCATGTAGCCTATTCCTGAACTTCTGCAGACTTTCCCGAAATAGCTTCTGCTATTTTACCGTAGCTGCGATAATGACTACCTGTCAGAACGACTTTTCTCCTTTCTACATGTAAACGTCATCTTTTGAGACTATTTATGCTAACTCCACATGTCGGCGAACCATGTGGGTCGGAAAAATTGATAAAAAGTCTCAAATTGGAATTGGCATTTAAATGATCGTTTTTTTTTAAGTGGCACTAAAGTAATCCAGCAAAAATTGTTGGAACCAAAGTGCCATACGAAAGTAATAGCACCTCCAGTGTCCTTTTCCCGGGATTTGAGGTTGTTGGCACCAAAGTAATAGGTTTTTCACTCGGAACTTGAAATTGTGTAAGGTTTTTCACTTAGAATTTGAGAAGCCTAAGATTTTTCACTCAAATTTTAAATGTCTAAGATTTTTCACTCATAACTTGAAATGTTGATATTTTTTCACTCAAAACTTGAAATACCTAAGGTTTTTCACTTAGGATTTGGAAATACATAAGGTTTTGCATTTATAGTAGCTTGAAAATTCAAGAATATTTGGATGAATCATGAGGCTTCAAAGAGCAACTCTAACTTCGGGTACTGGGAACTCTTTGGTCATCGAGGAAGCATTACATGTCAAACATGATTTAAGCAAATATACATATGTATTCATCAAAGAAATAGACCATCAAGGCCACTAAAACACATTTCAAAGCTTATTTCATCAAATCAATTGAGGTTCATGCATAAGGATTTTACCATGCTTGCATCAACAAATTTGCACTGGGGAGAACCATCATTAAGACAATCTTTAATCATAACGTAATTAATGTTAAATGAGAGATTTTCAATCGGAAATGTATTTTCACTCAGTGTCATTTAGGAAGGCTATTTTGGTCAATCCATTGATGCGGGAATATGAGTCACTCAATATTACCATTATCATCACGTCGACAAGCGTTTGAGTTTTCTCGCAAATAGTACAACCTTATCAATATGAGAGGTCTCTATCAGGATTGTAATGTCGGCCCTATCAACGACTTAGCTTAGCAAAAAGGAATATCTCCATTCATGGGTTTAAAAGAAATGATTTTCATTCATCATATCATCTAGGATTACAAGTCAAGATCCCTGCAAATGAGATAGAACCTATATTGCCCGCACTTCTTTAAGCGAAACTTTTAGCATTTGAAACTCCTACATTAACTTAAGTACTCTCATATGAAGAGACTTTATAAAGGATGTAATGTAAGCTCAATTAAGGGGTGAGAAATGAAATGATTCGTAAAGCCCAAAGATTTTTCATCAAAGGGGTTTTGAAGTTGGTAAACACATCGGCACCATTACCAATCTTCTCCTTGACTAGGGATTGTCTTTTCGTATAGATTCTTCATCGACTATGAGAGCCAACAATGTTTTTTTATTTGTGAGATCACAGGACTAGAGATGACTTTCACAGACTTGGCCTTTGGTTGCATCCTTTCACTCATTTTTTCTCCCTTTTTTTATTTAATTTTGACTTTTTTTTTTGCTCTCATTTTTTCTTCAACACATTTCTTGTAGTGCCGCAACGAACCAATCAAACTTTGACTTTTGTGGTGCCATTAGCTTTTGAACAATTCAGCATTTTGGGCTGTCGGGGTCTTCATCTTGAGTTGACTCTTTGTACCATGCTCTCTTAATGCAATAACTCATTTACCTTGCCCCAATGTTGAGAAATGAATTTGCAGCCTCAATTGGGCTATGGAAGGGATAAAAGTGTGTAGGATGTAGGAAAAAATGCTTTCATCATTTTAGGACTCTTAAATTCACATTTGAGTTCACCTGCATCAAAGATAATTGAAGATTGATGCAAGTGAATGCAAGAAAATTCAATGCATTTTTCTCGCCTCATGATGTCAACTTTACCTCCAATCTGTCCCGGTATTGGGTGGTTCTTGATAGGGGTAATTTGAAAGAATTCTTTAAACATTAAAGCTAATAGGGGCTAAGCAATGGTTTACCTGCACTTGGGGTGTTTGCCCGAGGATTTGATGGATTGCCTAATGTGTGCTCGCCAGCAGGACTTGAGAAGACTTAACTACTGGGGGTTTTCACTCGAGGATTTGACGGATTACCTAGTGGGTCCTTACTAGCAAGGTTTGAAAAGGCTCAACTTAAGCACCTGGGGATCCTCGCCTGAGAATTTGATGAGTTGCCTGGTGGGTCCTTGCCAGCAGAGCTTGCAAAGACTCAAATATTGAGCACTTAGGGGTCATTGCCCGAGATTTTGATGAGTTACCTGGTGGGTCCTCGCGGGCTTGAAAAGACTCAACTAATAAGCACTTGAGGGTCCTCGCCTAAGATTTGATTGGTTGCTTGGTGGGTCCTTGCCAGCAAGGTTTGAAAAGACTTAAATATTAAGCAACTGGGGGTCCTTGCCCATGAATTTTCCTTATGGG